GTACCACTTTTTTTTTTTCCTGATACTTGGTCAGTGCATGGTTGAAATGGTGAACAGATTCACTTCACACATCTCAGACATACAGATGATATGAAGGGGGGATGTATGCTTCTTCTGTTCGAGTTTGTGCAAAGCTGAGATGGTTGGTAGGGTTTTACTCCACAATCTATGTGGCCTCAGTGCTAGTGGAGGAAATAGAAGGACATGACTTTAGAGTAAGGAAGGCATCCTTAATGCTACTCTCTTCACAATCCTTTGACTAGCCAGAACAGACTTCACTTGGAGCTTTTATTTATTGGTGCCTACTTAGGCTGAGATATATAGGAGACCAAACCAAACCAAACAAAACAAAAACCCCAAGCGCCCAAATAAACAGAAAACCCTAGGGAGTCCCAGCATCCCTAGTCAGTCTGCCTGCTTTTCAGTCTTCTGCTAGTTGCTTTATAAATTTTATCCAGGGTTTTTGGTTGTGGGATTCTGTCTGGAGCCAAAAGTCCTGTTCATGGTAATTCAAGATCTAATATTGTAAAGCTTTCATATCTGCACTTAAGATAAGGCAAAGGAATGTATTTAGTGCGTAGTTTTTAGATATTACATACGATGATTATCATACTTTGTATCTAGGGTAGTTTTCTTTCTTTTTTTTTTTTCTTTTTTTTAGACAGGGTCTTGTTACGTAGCCTAACCTGGGCTTGAACTTACGATCTTCTGCCTCAGCTTTCTGAGTGCTGGAATTACAGTTATGCACCACCGTATCTGGTTCAAGGATAGATCTTAATAGGCTAATGGTTTCTTCTTCCTATCTTCTTTCTAGTCCTCTTCCTCCTCCTATAGCACAGGAAATTTATTTTGGAAATAGCTAAATGTAATGTGAACATATTACAAGGGCAAGGAAAAATAGTTTTGCTTTTGTCCCATTTGCATAAAAATTAAGTTCTGAAAAGAATGAATTTAAAATCTCAGTGAATTAGGGCGGTGGCTGGAAGCTGTGAACCAATGGCCAAATGTAATTTCAGCTCTGTTTCGGTAAATAAAAGTTTTATTGAAATACAGCTACTCCTTTCCATTTACCTATTGTGTACTACTGCTTTTGAACTGAAATGACAGGTTTGAGTACCTGAAATAGAGACCAGTCTGACTTCCAAAGCCTAATGTATTTAGTATCTGGTCCTTTACAGGAAAAGTTTGTTGACTTTCGTTACAGCTTGGATCTTAACTGTCTTCCAAAGGCTCTTGTGTTGAAGGCTTGGTCCCCAGTTGATTTGGCTTTTGGGAGTTGGTGGAATCTTTAGAAGGTGGCATGTAGTGGAAGGAAGTTAGGTCATTAGGTGTGTGCCATTGAAGGGGATATTGAGACCCTAACCCCTTCCCCTCTTTTCCCTTCTTGGCTGCCGTGATGTGAAGAGCCATGATGTATGTATGACTTTGCCAAGGTCCCAAAGGCGATAGGGCCAAGCAACCATGGACTGAAACCTGAACCCCTGAGCCAAGATAAAACTTACTTCTTTATGAGCTATTTCTCAGATATTTTGGAAAACTGACCTAACACAGCCCAGTGACTGACCACTAGATATTGAAAGTGAAATGACTTAGTTTCTTGTTTGATGTCATTTTGACTAATAATAAAGTGAATTCAGGGAGTTAACTTGGTTATAAGTAGAGAAATGTGTTTAATATTTTCCTGGAGATATGCCTGTGAAAATAAATACAGGTAAAAAGCTCATTAATTGCTCCGTGTGGTAGTTTTTAGGTGATAGGGAGTGGATAATCTGGGGTAGTAAAGATCCCAGTATAAAAACACCATTGCCAGCCTCAGCTTAATTAGTGATGTAATTTTATATTTTTTCCATTGAGTTTTGAGCATTTGGAGACTGAATATCATAGGTATTTTCTGTTATACAAGCAGCTATTAAGTTTAAAATTTGTACAAAATATTATACATACTTGATTGTCCCCCAAAATGTACAATTGGTGTTTTTTTAAAAAGAAAAATCCAAACTTTTGAATAACTTATTTCAAAGAAACATGAAAAATTACTCTCTCTGTTATCTAAAAAGTTTGATAGTGTTTCCTGTTTCAGATCTGACTCAGAACTTAATTTGAGGCCATCAAATTATTTGTTCTCCTGGACAAAATACATTTTACTGGAAGTGAAAATTTTTTAGCTAATAGTTTAGCCTGGTTAGTATATTAAGTAAAGCATAATGGTAATATCAAGATCCAAAATCTCATTCTTTCATTAGTTGTACTTCTATGAACTCATTAAATACAAGAGCTACAGGATAAGTGTATGCATTACTTAGTTCCAATCCATCACCACTGTAGTTAAAAAAAAAAAAAGTAACAGCTCAGATTGGTAGTCTAAACCTCATATATGGTAGATAGTCCCTTTAGACTTCAATGGGAACTTAAAATTATTGGTAACTGTGTTTTTTCATTACTGTGATTGACTTTCATTCATTATATTAGAATGATACTTGAGAAATACAATAAATACACTGGTGCTCAGATCCCTCATTTGATCAGATCTTTTGTTTCCCAGACTTGGTTAGTATTTGAGATACTTTTTTTTTTTTTAAAGTTATTCTCTTTTTCCCTAAAGATTGTGACTGAGTGATTTGGGATAGAGTCTAGGAATTTCTATTTTTAAGCAAATACTATAGGTTGTAGGTTTTTCATTTAAGAAAACAGACCTGTATAATACCTAATATTTTTGACTTTTATTATCTCTTATTCATCTTCATTCTTTATACCATTTCTGTTATACCAAATAGAAATTAGATTTTTTAGAAATTTGGTATAATGACATTTTGTTTTATTTATTTATTTTTTGCAGTACTGGGGTTTGAACTCAGGGCCCTCCACTTGCTAGGAAGGTGCTCTACCACCTTGGCTGCACCCCAACCTGACATTTCTTAAATGAAAACAAATAAACAATGCCTGTATCCATTGGTGCAAGTTTCCCATTATTCACTATAATGTTGTTTCAGAAGATAGGCTGCATGTTTTAAAGGGTAGTGAGTAGTGGTTGATAGAGGTATCCTGGTGTGCTAACAAATAATGCATGTTTATTTCAGCATTTATATATCAATATAAGTTCATGACTTTGCTGTTTCAAATTTCATCTATCCCTTACCCAGTTTCTGTTATTCCTGCATGTGTGATCTGTTGCTTCAAAAAACTACCTTTTCATTTTCCTATGCAAACCAAACATACACTTCAGGCAAACCCCCCCCCCTTCTCCATATGCCACATGTAATGCTTTGCTACCTCTCCACTACTATTAGTAGTTAAGGAATAGTTAGCCTAAGTTCTTCTCAACCATTCTTACTGATGTTGATTTTTCTCAAAGTGCTACTGCTTATGTCATCCATTTGAAGAATTAATATATTATCTTACCATTTACTTAATAGTTGCCGTATGTGAGTGTTTTGGCTATCTAAATTTGCATGGGTGGGGCTCATATCCTATAAAAAGTTTTTTTTGTTTCAGTCCTGGGCCCTCATGCAGGCAAGCATCCCATCCCAAAAGAAAAAGATTTTTAGTTTTGTTTCTTGAGACAGGTTTTTGGTATGTAGCCCAGGTTGTCCTGGAACTCAGAATCCTCCTGCTTCAGCCTCACAAGTGATGGGATTATGGTAGGTTTGTGCCACCATACCTGGATCCCAAAAATTTTTAAAAAGAAAATTTCAATTTGGTTGTTTGATAAAAATCTTAATAGCTTTTAAAACCACTTTGGCTAATTACGTGAGGTGTTATAATTTTATCTTTAATTTTTTTCCTTTTGTGTTTTCATTTTTGCTGCACTGGAGATTGAGCTCAGGCCTTGCTTGCCATGCTAGACAAGCACTCCAGCACTTGAACTATACCCTCAACTCTTTTGTTTTTACTTTGTTTTTGAGACTGGATCTTTGCCTGGGCTGCCTTCAGACGCACTTCCCTGTTGCCTCTGCCTGCTAAGGAGCTGTAATTACAGGAATTGGTCACCACTCCTGGCTCTGTCTTTAATTTTTAAGCTGTAATAACAAAAATAACTGTCAATTATATAGAATTGACAAGAGTCACAAAATAAGAATTATTCGTTTTAACTTCAAAATATTTAGGGAGGACTGATTCCTTCCACAAAAATTTTATTTATCTTTTCCTTTTGGATTTTTTTTTTTTTGGTTAATTATCTTACCAGTGAACTTTTTGTACTTCTAAGTACCTTGTTCCATTGATCTTCCTTTCTTTTCCAGAGTCAAGACTATAGACATCATTTGAGATTTCCTCTTTGCTTTGTTTCTCAAAGGTGGTCCTCAGTCAGATCTACCTGTATTAGAATCAACTAGAGTGCTCACTAACTCTTCCCTGAGCTGTTTGCTTTTTTCCTACATATCTTTCACTTTGTTCATTTTGTCCTTTAATCTTACTGCTCTCCATTCTTTCATCAGTTTTGAAAACTTACAGTCTTAAACTATCAGACAATTAGTTGTAGATAGAGCAGTTTTAGTGTAGTAGTTAGGAATATAGGTTATGGATATCCTCTTCCTAATTTAGAATATTGTCTCTGTCACTTTTCCAAGATTACAAAGGTAGTTGCTTAAAAACACTTCTGTGTTTTAGTGTCCCTTTGTATAACTAGGATAACAGTTTGCTCCTCATAGGGCTGATATGTATTAGATGAATTAATATTTGTAAACTACTTAGAATAATGCTTGTATATAGAAAGCAATTAGTAAACATCAGCTGATGCTGTGGTTTCTCTTTTGAGCTCTCAGTTTTGTACTATAGTAACTTGTATTCATTTCTTACTCTTCCTATTAGATTGCAGGTTCTTTAGGGCCCACCATTTTAACTTACATAGTTTTCAGTGAATTCTGTATAATGAAGGGTGTTTGATAAATATTTGCTATATCAAATTATAGGAAAATGGCAAATTCCAGAATGATTGCTTTTCAGAGGCTATTTTTGTAATATAAATTAAAACCTAAGTTAATTTAATACTCTCTGTGTTTCAGGAATTCTAATGAATCATTGGCCAGTACCATTTTACCAGTTGGAATGAGTTATATCAGAAATGGGCATAGTGCTTTTAGATCCAACATGTAACAAATGGATGCTACTTTATGCTGATGATTTCTTCATGGCAACATCTTTTTGATTGTGAAGGATCTTTGTCTCTTCATCTTTGTCTTTGGATTTTGGGCAAATAACAAGAGTTCATGTAGTTTTTGTCCACGATTGAGTCACCATGAGTAGTAGTTTAGGAAAAGAAAAAGACTCTAAGGAGAAAGATCCCAAAGTATCATCAGCCAAGGAAAGAGAAAAGGAGGCAAAAGCTTCAGGAGGTTTTGGAAAAGAAAGCAAAGAAAAAGAACCTAAAACCAAAGGGAAAGATGCCAAAGATGGAAAGAAGGACTCCAGTGCTGCCCAACCCGGTGTGGCCTTTTCAGTTGACAATACGATCAAACGGCCAAATCCAGCACCTGGAACTAGAAAAAAATCGAGCAATGCTGAGGTGATTAAAGAGCTCAACAAGTGCCGGGAGGAGAACTCAATGCGCTTGGACTTATCCAAGAGGTCTATACACATACTACCATCATCAATCAAAGAGTTGACTCAATTAACAGAACTTTATTTATACAGTAATAAATTACAGTCCCTCCCAGGAGAAGTGGGCTGCCTAGTAAATCTCATGACGCTGGCTCTAAGTGAAAATTCACTTACCAGTTTGCCTGACTCGCTTGATAACTTGAAGAAGCTGCGGATGCTTGATTTACGGCATAATAAACTGAGAGAAATTCCTTCAGTGGTGTATAGGCTAGATTCTCTCACCACTCTGTATCTTCGCTTTAATCGTATAACTACTGTGGAAAAGGATATCAAAAACCTATCAAAACTCAGCATGCTCAGCATTCGAGAGAACAAAATCAAACAGTTACCTGCTGAAATTGGTAAGAGGACTTGGTTATTATTATTGTAGTATTTATTATACTAAACAATTTTGTTGGGTGCTTTTCCCTACCATAAATTCTTAATACTTGCCTAAAAACAGCTTGTTTCTAACTTTCATTTCGTTCATGGTTTACTTTACCAATAGACATGAACTGAAATTATTTTAGACCAAAGTGAGTTAGAAAATAGATGTAATTCGACCTTTCTCACACCAATTAATGAGCTTTAGTTTTCACTGGAAAAAAAAAATTGAAAAAAGAAAAGATGTTTGCCTAAGTTGTTGCCACCTACTTTTAAAGTCTGCCTATGTTTATTAGCTAACATCTGTACTTTTCCATTCTGACTTTCCCTTCTTTATCTAGAAATGTTTAAGTTCACATCACTTTCTAATTTACCACTAAGAGTTGTCATAGCTTTAAGAAAGAGTATTGTCATGTGAAAATAGAATTTTTTTTGTTTTGTTTTGAAAGTACTTGTTCTTTAAAAAGAATCTGATATAGCAGCTGACCTGAGTGGCATGTTCCTGTAATTCCACCTACTCAGGAGGCTGAGGGCAGGGGAGTTGCTTGAGCCCAGGATTTGGAGGCTTGCCTGGGTAGCAGTGTGAGATCCTGTCTCGAAAATAGGGAAAACCCCAAACAAATCCAATACAGAAAGGCAGAAGAGGAGACCTTTAGTAAATGCAACATTTGGCATTTTGATAGATTTCATTTCACTTCTATATAAAGCTAAATTCTACTGAAACAAAGGAAATTTTTTTTTAAAAGGAATGGTAGTAGAAACAAGGAATATAGATGTGTCAATAAAAAGACAGCAGTTGTGATATTTTTAATGATGGGAAAAATTTTTTTGTGGCAGTAATGGGGTTTGAAGTCAAGGCCTTGTGCTTGCTAGGCAGGTACTCTGGTTAAATAGAAAAAAATTTATGAACCTTAAATACATTAATTCATTAGCATCAGTTTTTGAGAAATTGATACAGGTACTGCCGTAGTGAGCTTTTTTTTTAATAAGATTTTTAACTCAAAAAAAAAAAAAAACCAGAAACCCTCAAAGTAAAATGTGGATCTTGGAATTTTAAGGGAAATTTTAAGTCCATTTTTTCTTCTGAATAAACAAAGATGAATTAAGTTTTATGTATTGGTCTTACAGTGAATGGTAAAAGAAACTTTGTGATTGTAGACACTGCAGCCTTTGCAGGGATATAATATTGTGTGATTTAAAAATTTTGTTTAGACTTAAAAATACTACAGTTTAAACTTTAAATGTGTTATTACATTTAACTCTTAACTAGACACTTAATATAAATACATTATAGATTTTCTTAGGTAGTGTATCATACATACAAAATGCCACTCAACTTGTGAGTTAGTAAAATGTCCCAGGAATTTTTGGGTAGAAATACTTCATTCCATGTCTTCTCATAGGAAAGTGGCTGTTGAATGACTTGGTTTAGTACTAGATTCAGTTAAAATTTGACCTTGCATATATGGTTCATTGTTCTGTTTTTATTATTGTTTTGTGTTTGTGTTACAATTGGTCCTAAAAGTTTGACAAATAATTTATGAACCTCTTAGGATTTATTTCTATCAAATTACCTGAGATTTAAGAATACACTTTTTTCCCCCCCCCCAAGGTGCTTGGGATCAAACCTAGGGTTCCTGTATTCTGGCAAGTGCTTTACCACCTCAAGCCCCAGCCCAAGAATTCAGGATGTTTTCTTTTCTTTCTTTCTTCCTTTTTTTTTTTTTTTTGGTGTTTATGGAGCCCAGGCTGGCTTTGACTTGAAATCCTCCTTCAGTCTCTCCAGGGCTGAGATTACACCCAGCTCTTGTAAATATCCATTTCTTAAGTGAGAGTTAGTTCACAGAATTTTCAATTTCATTTTTTTTGAGCATATAGATACAATATTTTTACTGAAAAGTAATTATTTAAGTTGACAAATTTTATATAATTAACTGGTTTATGTTTGTAGCTACCTAATCTTTTGATCTTTATTACTGAATTTATATTTTAAAAGACCCTTGAATTTCTTGAATAAATTCCCTCCCACCATTAGTGACTAAAGTTGGTATTCTTCTACGTTCTGGTTTTCTGTAAAAATGGAAACATCATACATTGTTTATTCTAAGCAGGGCATCAGAAAATAAACGTAATCTAATGTTTGTTAGGAGTTATAATTTATAAGGTGTAATGCAGATGCATGAATTTGGGACGAATCCATAGTCTTTGTTTCCTTATAGAAAACAAAAAATAAAGATCAAGTAAAAATACTATAAACAATAATAGTTATCTGAGCATAATGTCAATATACCAGGTATTGATATGTAAATGTCACTGCAGTGAATGAGGCAGTTTGACTTAAAGAAAAGCTCATAGTTCTGGAGATCCAAGGGCATAACACTGGTTCAGGTTGGTCTCATCACATTGGTGGGAGTGCCAGTAAGGAGAGCTCACATTGCCAGACAGAAAGTCAAAGGGGCTAAGGAGTAGCCAGACTTGCTTTTGTATTTAAAACAACCCTTTTTTAAAGAATTTAGGGGTTCCACAGAATTAACTATTTCTTTCTGAGGGCAGCATCTCAAAGACCTAAGCATTTCCCACTGACCCAAGTCACCCAGCCACCTCAATATTGCCACTCTTTAAGTACCAGCCTTCTAATATATGAACCTGTAGGGGGGTCAAACTATAGCCAAACCATAGCACCGGAATTCTTTACATGTATCATTAAATCTTTATGGTAACCCAATAAAATAGGTATTTCTTTCTCATTGTATACAATTTTAATTTTCTGGGAAGGCAGTGTTTGCACTTTGAAACCAGAGATAAACTCCATCTTTGTGTCTTATTAATGCTTCTGCAGTTTTCTTTTCCCTCTGGCTGTGGTTTGGTTTGGGAGGTTTTTTTTGTGTGTGTGTGCGATATTAGGGTTTGAACTCAGGGCCTCACTGTCATGCTTGCTAGGCAGGCGCTCTATCACTTGAGCCATTCCGCCAGCTCCTTTTTTTAGAGATAGGGTCTTGCAAACTATTTGCTAAGGCTGGCTTCAAACTGTGATTCTGATCTCTGACCCCTGAGTAAGCTAGGATTACAGGCGTGAGCCATAGGCACCCAGCTTGGTTTAGGATTTTTAAGAAAAATTCCCCACTTATTTACTATTATTTATAAAAACAAAACAGCTAAGTTTTTTATAAATAATAGAGGCAATATTTAAATCTTTCTAAGCTATATGTTCAACAAAATGCTGTAATTTATATATTATACACTTTCATGTGGATTTGTTAAAAAGACCCTTTTTGTTTAGGAAAATGATCTGTTAAAGTATGGTTTTTGAGACCATAGATCATTCTTCCCCTCCCATTTAAAAACAGCTTTCACATCATTTAGATATGTGAGAAATTAGAATCAGAAGTTTTTTTACCCTTTGAATAACATTTATTCAAAACAAAATCAATTTCATACTGCTCTGCAATATGGTAGTTTTATAAGTCAAATGACATATAACCAGTATGTATGTTTTATATATATATGTATATATAAAATCAATAGCTATTCATATAGAATATACAATGCACAGAATCATCTTTTTTAAAAAGCTGAGTGAATTTACAGATTTGGTTTAAACTCCCTGTTGTGTGATTTTTCTGTGAATTTCTTAAACATTAAAGGTTAGGCTTTCAGTAAATATGGTTTAAAATGAACTTGATGAAGTACAGTACTGTTTACATATTTTTACTGTATTGGTATATTTTAGTATTATAGTATTACAATTTTATAGCAGTAAATTTAGTACAGTTTCTTTACAATCATGCATAATTATAATAGTATTAATAATATTTCAGTGTTATTTTCAATATTAACTCAAATTATAAGCCTTAATTCTTAAAGTTCTTGAAATTCTTCCAAGACTGCCAGGAGTGACAGAATTGCTTTTCATGGTCCAGGTAGCATTAGTAAATTTCATTTGAGTGTTTTTGTACAAATGCTAATGAGTAACTTACTTTACAGGAAAGGGAAATCAATAAAGAGAATTCATAGTTGTTAATAAATAACTCCTTGACTAAGTATCAGCAAGAAACCATAGACACCCAGAAATGAACTGTAACTTAGTTTATCGTTATCAGGTCTTTTACTAAAACAACAAGCACCTATGGAGAAGTTATCATTATTGCTAAAGGAGGCAATGAGAGAACACAGAAAATAGCATTTGAACAACTTTAGAAGGAACTGATAGGGTTAAAGGAGATAATTGACTTCTTTCTCTGCTGAGGTGTTTGAAAGAGGGAGAAGAGGGCAATTATACTCTAAAGACAGCATGTCATCCATTCAAAGGTAAATAGCCACTGTTGTCCTTTTGTTGCTAAGGTACTTGCTTAAAAGAGCCCCTGAAGTCTTCTATGCAATGAAAGGAAGAATTAAGCCTTTAAGACAAATTTAAATAATACAATGACATGGAATTCCAATCTTTCTAAATCTGCTCAAACTTGTATGACAGGTATTTTCAGCTTTGTTAATTATGTAGTTTTACAAATGTATTTTATAAGATTTGATGTGATTTTTATTTTTATAGAGCTAAACTGAATGAAAAAATCCTTATAACAAATTTGGGTTTTTTTTTGTCTTTTAACAGGCATCTTTAATGTGAGTCAGTGAGTTATATGCCACTTAGCAATGTTTCAGTCACTATATGATAGTGACCCATAAGATTTTATTTTTTTGGCTCAGGGTAGGAAGGTACTGGGGATTGCACATGCTAGTTCCCTGTTACGTGAGCCAAGTCCCTAGCCCTTTTGTTTGTATTTTTGTTTTTGAGATAGTGCCTTGTTAACCTTACTCAGGCTGGTCTCCTGCCTCTGCTTCCTGAATAGCCTGTTATTACAGGTGTGTGCTACCATGCCTACCTTCTATAAGATTATTACTAGTAACATAGGAGCTGTCTTCATTTAAGTATACTCCTGTGATGTTCATACAATGAAATTGCATCTCTCAGAATGTACCTGGA